AAACAAACCAAAAAAAAACACCAATGTTTGAGACACAATGGGGGCACTATTGGTTTTTGGATGTTGGCTGCATTTTGTCTCAAACATTGGTTTGTTTGTTTTTTTTTGTTTTTTGGTTTATTGGTTTTTGGTATTCCCTCTAAACTGGGATAGGCTTGGATCTCACAAAATTGATCCAAAAATAGCTCAAAACCTCAATTTTGGAGATGTGTTTGCAAGAAATCACTGTAAAACACAGGGTTTTTGCTTCATTTAAGTTTAACGGTGGAATTTGATTTTAAATTGGATTTCAATTGATTTTGGTATTAGACTTCAATTAAAACGCTTTCAGAATTATTGGTGGAAGTTGGTTTCTCATTAGTTTTCTATTAAAAATGTGTTTAAGATTAATTGTGGATTTTTACAAACTAAGTTTCATTTATATCATATTCAAAATCATTGGGGAAATTGATGTTTTCATTAGATTTCAATTACCATGTCTTCAAGATTAATTATAGAAAAATAAATGTGTAATTCAACTTCGATTAAATTCCTTTTCAAGATCATTGTGGCAATTGAGTTTGAATTAGATTTAAATCAAAATCCTATTATATTTCATTGTAGAAATTAGTCATTACTTAAATGTCAATTAAAGTCCTTTTCAAAATCATTGTGGACATTGCTTTTTGTTTAGATTTTAACTTAATTGCGTTTCAACATAATTTGATTGAATTGCTTGTGTATTGGATATCAATCAAGACCCTTTTAGAATTGATTGTGGAAACTAATTTTCAGTTAACAGCTAATGGTGGAAATCAATTCTTATAATTAGATGTTAGCTAAAGTCCTTTTATTTGATGTTGCCTTGTAGTGGGGAGCAAACAAATACAAAATCAATTCAAATCTAGTTAAGCATCACAATTTCCACAATTAATATTAAATCGATGTTAAACACAATCTGATATTAAATCAACGCCACCACTAACTTCATTCGCTCATGATGCTACATTCATTGTGGGCAAAGAGAGATTTACCTGATAAAATTTATCATTGGTGTTGCACATTGATAGTGGGCAAACGAAGAGCTGTTATTTGTTGTCATTGACTTTGGACATGGAGACTGGGCACAGACAGATCAAAAAAATTGCATTTCGCCTAGTTCTCAGAGCAGTTTTTGAAATGTTGCACAGTATTTACAGTGTTTTCTAAGGGTTTTGAGCTAGTGTGTGCTCTCCCAAGCACGCCCACCCTCCAGAACGGGTGCTTGCGCTGGCTTTTGCTCTTCACATCATATGATTATGTCAACACCGGACTTTTAATGTTGAATCCAAATTAGTATAATGGGACGGAATAATAAAACGTTTCGCCAAATTATTCGCACACCCTGATTAGTTTAATGGGTCGGAATAAAAAACAAATCACCCAGTGTTTTTTTGAGATTTGATTGTTTTTCTATTGCTCTGCTATTGCTCACCCTTTAACATCCTTATTTAACTTTTCTGAGGTTTGCTTGATTCATCGAACTCCGACCTGAAAGCCGTTTCAAAAACGCTTATTAAAACTCAACGATGTCATTGCTTCAAACAATTTTTCAAGGGGCTAGTACACAAGCCTAGGGTAATTGAATAGTATGAATTGTAATAAGCAAACTTGGAGCCCTATGGGAAAAAATATAACTTTATTACGTTATTATTGTTCTGCTATTGCCGCCCTTTCAAATCCTTACTTAACTCTTCTGAGGTTTGCTTGATTCATAGAATTCTGACCTGAAAGCTGTTTTCAAAAACGCTTATTAAAACTCAACGATTTCATTGCTCCAAACAATTTTTCAAGGGGCTAGTACACAAGCCTAGGGTAATTGAATAGTATGAATTGTAATAAGCAAACTTGGAGCCCTACGGGAAAAATGTAATTTTATTATTGTTCTGCTATAGCTGCCCTTTCAAATCCTTACTTATCTCTTCTACGACTACGACTACGACTGCTGCTACACTACTACTTCTTTTGGTGGCAGTGATACTCTTCAGACCCCCTGGATTGTTTGCTAGGGGGGGCCGCTTACTAGGATCGAACATTAAGTCACTGTTTGTTGATGTTGACCAACTTTTTCCCGCAATTCGAACCAGCGTTCAAAAAGACTTCTGATTCAATTCTTTAAAATGCGTTTTGATCACGCAAACGACTCTGTTTGAGCCGCTAAAGCAATGATGTAATGTAATCGTGACAGTTCCTGTAAGTAGTTCTAAAAGGGAAAGCACTTACCTCAAGGTCGAAATTCAAATCCTTCGCCTCCAGGCTTCAAAACCCGATGCATCTCTTGGAAGACCTGCAAGAGCCCCAGGAAGATGGCCATCGACTCTCTTGGAAACAACTTGCGTAAACACTGCAATGGCAATGTCTGCATTGGCACTGTCGCTTGCTGCATCTTCTTTTGATATCTTTTGATTGGTTGTGGTGATCTTCTTCTCTGGCCAAAACAAGACCTATAGCACTTCACGTTGTGAC